AAAATATTAGTTCACTTTGTCTTACTTGTCTAAATTTTAGCATATTGATTTTTAAGTAAATTCAGTTCTTTTTAAGCTTATATGTATATGAAGTACTTCGAAAGTTTTTGTCGTACTTAACTTAAATAAGATATACAGTCAGTCAATAAATTTTAGGTACAGTGAAGTTTATACAGTGAAGTGATATATCGTTCAAAGTTACATATATTGAACTGCAAGAATACTCATCTCTCCCTCTAGCAGACCCTAGCTGCTTTACTCCAGCTCGAATAGACATGGTATTAGGAAGCGATATCATCCCCCCAAGTGCTACCGTCAGGCCTAAAAACCAATGTCGGTTGAAGCTTAATAGCCCAAAACTCAATATTTGGGTGGATTTTGAGCGGCCCAGTAACAGAGCACGTCACATTATTCACCCAGGTAATAGAAAACTCGACAGACACTCTCAACGATCTACTCAAGAAGTTCTGGGAACAGGAGGAAGTAACATCAACCCTATCTCTTACCGACGACGATGTACTTTGCGAAAAACTCTACGGAAGGTCCACAGTTCGCAGAGATGACGGTCGCTGCGTAGTAAAACTCCCCTTCCAAACTACCTTCCCAGACACGATTGCACTTGGACACTCAAGACCTGCAGCTGAACAACAGTACCTCAGTATCGAGCGGAGCATCGAAAGAAAACCTGAACTGCAGCAAACGTACACCAAAGTAGTATCTGACCTTAGATCACATGGAACGCTCGGCGTCGCAAGAGATTATACGTGATGGAAAGTATTTTTCTTTTTACTTACCTTCTTAAGCCAGATAGTAAAACCACGAAAGTGCGAGTAGTTTTAAACGCTTCCAAACTGTCTCACTCTGGCATTTCTCTAAAGGATATCCTCCACACGGGCCCCGTACTTCAAAATGATTTAATGCTCGTTATCCTCAAATGGCGGCTGTACAAATACGTTTTCAATGGTGACATTGAGAAAATGTACCGCCAGATTTACGTACACCCAGAGGACCAAGATTTCCCAAGGATCCTATTCCATAGAACCGCTCAAAGCTCGGTCGAAAATTTCAAATTTCAAAAAAACGGTGACCTTTGGTGTCAATTGCGCACCATACTTAACTATAAGAACCCTGCACCAACTAGCCAAAGACTCAAATGCCAAATACCCAAACCCGCGGAGATTCTACTGAACGAAATTTACGTAGACGATATACTTTCAGGCGGACATGATCTCGACTGAGCACTCACTTCGATGAATCAGGTAACCGCAGCACTAAAATCAGCAGGTTTCCCATTAAAGAAAATGACGGCAAACCATAAAGAGATACTCCAAAATATACCAACATCTGACCGCTTAGAAGCAGACTTCCTCCAGTTTCAAGACTCCAGCTCCACAAAAACCCTCGGAATAAAAGGGAATAGCCTTAATGATGAATTTTCATACTCAATTTACCCTCTTCCAGGCTCTACTGTAGCCACTAAAAGACAAATTTTATCCTCCGTTGCCAAACTTTTCGACTCGGCAGGGTGGCTTACACCAATGATGGTCCAAGCTAAAATGTTACTCCAACAACTCTGGATCGCAGGCACAGGTTGGGACGAAACCGTTAAACCCGGCGCGCTTCACAAATGGAACGCATTTCGAGAAAACTTAATAGCCATCACGGAAATCCGGATCCCACTCGATCCTACTCCACGCCGGCAAACAGTTAATGATCCGTGCAGTCCAACAGGAGTACTACGTACCTCGCCTCAAACAGAAAATCAAAGGGTTCATCTTCCACCGTAAAACGTGCACAATCCACAAACAAAAGATGAGATCCCAAATCATGGCTGCTCTATCTCCAGAAAGATCCACCTACTCACTACCCTTCCACACCACTGGAGTTGATCAGACCCATTCTTGGTGAAAATATCCGCATTACGCCGAAGCTCATACACCAAAGCTTACGTCTGTGTATTTGTATGATTCTCTACGAAGGTGATCCACCTCGAACTCTGCTCGGACCTTACAACTGAGGCCTTTAAGGCAAGCTTTTTTGCCCGGTTTGTAGGCCGGCGAGGATTACCACACAAAGTCATGTCAGACAACGGCAAAACATTCGTTGGCGCCCAAAGATCCATTTATAGAGAACTCTCCAGCTTTCTCAAGGACATCGTTCCAGAAATTGCTGAACATTATACCGTACATGGTCTCTCATGGCAATTCATACCCCCATATTCTCCTAATATGGGAGGTCTCTGGGAAGCGGCTGTAAAAAGCTTTAAGGCGCACTTCAACAAAGTGGCAGGCAATCAAAAGTTTACCTTTGAAGAGCTCACCACTCTCCTCATACGCATCGAAGCGGTCGCTAATTCCAGACCACTCTCTCCCATGTATCAGGACCCAAATGGTTTGTTAGCCGTAACTCCAGTTCGTTTTCTACGTGGAGCCCCATTACCTTACCTACCAGAACCTAACGCTGAAAACCTCAACCTGGTGAATAAGTGGCAAAAATTGAAGGTGCTCCACCACCAGTTTAGTATACGCTTGAAAAACGAATACCTAAAGGAGTTGCACAAGAGAAACAAATGGAAAGCACTCGAAACAAACATCACTGAAGGAAATTAGTCGTCATCAAAGATGATCTCGTCCCCCCAAATTAGTGGCGCCTCGGACGCGTCGAAAACTTTACCCCGGTCCTGATCAAGATGTTCGCGTAGCAGACATCCGTATCAAAACAGCAGTTTTCACACGAAATATTGCGAGATTATGCTTATTACCCTTCTCATAAATGTCCTTACTAATCATTACACATACTTACAGATGTTCGTCTTCATGTACAAAATCCGTAAACTTCACTCATTTATTAACCCATACATATGCACATCACGTTCTCATTTTCACATTTTTCACACTTATCTGGGAATACGATAATGCTATTTTGAAATTATTTTCTTCCTAGGACAAGTGACGAGTCGATGGAACCGAACAAGTTCCGCTTATGTTGCTGCCCTCACTCCCTGCGCTATTGTAAGGCGTTCCGGGCTATGGCTCCTGATGACAGGCTTGAATCGGCGCGCGCACACAAGTACTGTGTGAATTGGTTGGCCACCTCACATGCCACAGGAGCTTGCGATTCCCCGGCCAGCTGCCACCGATGTGGCAGAGCGCACCACACGCTACTACACCTATCAACCTCGAGCTCGCCTGGGCAGAGGCGCAAGAGGGCGATCCAAGGCGGTCGAACAGCCAATCACCGCACCATCCGCAAACCGCCACGAAGCCTCCAGAGCCGCTCTGCCGCCAGACGTCGTCAGATCCGGGAGCTGCTAAACAAAGCCCAAGCTATCATCCAGCAGCTGAAGGAGTTGTTACCGGCATCCACACAGGGCGGGCGGCTTGTTGAGGACATGGACGAATGAGGCGTTTTTCTATTTATATATTTTTCCCACATATGTACATATAAGTATATCCGGGTACAATAAGCTAACGCTGAACATATCCAAACCCTTGAATTTGCCGTGAATTTAATACCAATGTATACATTCCCTAAAATTACATGTATACAAATGTACACATTGTATTATAAACGCTCGTACATACACACACAAATATTAAAATAGTTTGTAAATCCTAACGTTTTAAAAACGCGAAGTGCTCGGCACTCGCAATCGAATCGTCAGTGCGGAAAGACCGCCATTTTCTCACCCTTAATTTATATATATATAGTCCACAAAATTTTACATTTCAAGAAATACCTGAATTGTAACTTATAGTTATTACTAAAGAAGGTTAACCTTTTATTTAAACGGAAGTAAACATAGCCCGATCAGGTTGCCAAGAGCGCAACAGTCGTTAACTATGTTTATTGTTTTTGTATCAGCGAATATTAGTTGCTAGTCATGTTTATTGTTTATTTGTTTTTATGTTTTGAATAGACTCCTTGATGAAGACGCGAGAGCGTTGAAGGGCGTAGGAGGGAAAACGGAAAATTTAATTTTTCGCTTTTAACTCTATCGGTCGAAGCAGCTCCAACCCAGCAAACATAATAAATAAGAATTGGGCCCAAAAATGTATGACTAAAAATAATTTATTTAACAATCCTAACTCATTTTATGGTTTCGTAAATTCAAAGCGTAAGGGACATGGCTTTCCGTCCACTATGCATTATCGCAACACTGTGTCTAGCGACCAGACATCTGCAACGGGTGCATAATTTTCGTGTATACTCGAGCATCTAACAAAACCCGTTTGGCATCAATCTCTTTCTTCACAACACGCGATTGCTTTTCATAAATATTCGATTGGGTGCTTTACAGCTCAATATACTCGAGTGCTCGAGTTTCAACTGTAAAGTGCACAAAATTTGCTTGTTTGGCTTAGGCTAATGCAGTGATGCCCAAGCCCTATGCACTCGGTGCACATTTGTTTTTGTAGAGGTACTTACCCTCCAGTACTGCTGGAGTCAATCGCTACTTTTAAACCGCTACCGCACCGACTCCTGGGTAAGTAGCTACTCTATTAACCCGTGGTAGTGCAGTCGGAAGCAGAATAGCGAAAAACTACGACAGAGGGTGCCCATAATTCACGCAAGTGACTACTTTAGTAACTCCCGGTAGTGCAAAGAGAGCCAATGGTGACTACCGCCTAGGACATTGCCTTGTAAAAGTAATCGCTGAAATACACCGCAAGTCGGTAACTGACGGTGTTTACTTGGTAGCTACCGATTCATCAGTCCTGTAGTCGCTCCCCCGTACTGCAGGGTATGTAGGTATAGGTATAGGTATATGTGTTCTAATATACACACACAGCACTCCGCGCGAAACTATACAAAATAGATATACAAACATTTTTGTCTACTTTGCTTCTATTTTTTCTTTGCGTATGCACAACCACAAAGCAACAACACTTTCGTATGCTTTGTTGGTACATATTGGCGACAGATATATCCTTCAAGCGGGTGCCGCAATGGGTATCGCTGCCTACAACGCCGAGGAAAAATAGGCTTGCTCCTTTGCCGCAGTGGTGCAAGCAGGGGGGCCTAGTAAGGGCCGAGGTATAAACTCTCCTGCCGTGTCTAGCGGCTGGCCGTATGTGCTCGCTCTAGGAATGCTGGGATGGGCATACTGAGGATATTTCTAGGGGGTACCTGGCGGTATGTATAAAACGCCCCCTAATCCAGGGTGTCATGCGTTACCATGCCCATTGGACGGTTTGTAGTCGGATGGATTTCCGACTGTTTTCTAACGGCATCTCCCGGATACCTGTGCGCTGCGGGAGTAACGGTGGACTTGCTGCGGCATGGGGCTCTGCCGTGGTCGACTGTTTTTTTCCTTTTCCTTAGTAGGCGGCCAAAGAACCAGATGAATAATGAATAAAACCAAAGCAGCCTCGGAACCCTGCACGGGTAGTGCCGCCACTAGACATGGCGAAGATAAGCCCAAAAACCTACCGTCCCGGGAACCGCATCGACGGCGCCGAAGACAGGGCCAGCACGGCCCAAGCAGTTTCGGTCCTCCGCAGAATCTAGACGGAATGCTAAGCCCCCAGAGGGAAGGCAAACTTCCAGCGATACCGGCAGAAATATACCCCTCAAGGGAATGTCGAAGCCGGTGGAGAAGCTGCGGAAGGCCCCTCTCTCTATGCCCACACCGGGCACATCCAACTCGCAGGGGTAGTAGCCGAGCCCAAGTCCTCCACGGCTAAGCAGGGGCTACTCCTGCGAGTAAAACCCCGACGACCGGGGCAAAGGACCGCGATCGGCGCCTTGGCTGCTCCAAAGCAGCAAAAATAATTATGCCCACCGTCAGGGCTCAGCGCGACCGAAGGGCAGCCCCTAAGGTTATTAAAAGATTGGGTGTCATTCCACATGATCAAAAAGCCTTCCTCAAGTGAGCAATGTGAGTCGTCGCCGCAAGAGACAAGCGATACTCCGGGAAAGGCGGGAAGGACAAACCACCCACTAAGGCGAACTCACGGAAGGACCTAGTCCCCAGGAGACAACGATCTTAGGACGACACCTTGAGTGGATCCAAAAGGAATAGGGCTTCCTTCCTTCTAACCATGGGCATGGCCGTGCCCACTACGAGGCCGCCGAAGAGCACGTCACGCTGGCGGTGTTGAACAAGGGCCATCCGAACGGCCACATCAGTACGGACAATTGGAAGTCCGTACTGATGGGTCTATGTACGGTGTATAAAGGAATACTCCAGAAGTATCCCGGTCCTGCACCAGTCACTCGTGATGCTGGGTGGCATCAGGGGCGGGTAAATCTGGTAGCAAACTAACGCGCGGTCCAGCTCTACAAGGAAACGATCTCCACGGATGAACAGCTGTGGCCCGGGGCAGACTTAGTTGCCGTCCATATTTAGGGTTGAAATCCCTAACAGGCCTCGAAACCCCTAACAGGAAACGAAGGACTGCCCACCAGTGATTGGAGGATAGTCCGAGTTGGCGAGACCAAGGGGAAGCAGCGTTTTGTTGGCTTTGTCACCAGCGATGCCTCCGGATGCTTCCGTCCCGGTTATCGAGGGTTGTGGTGAGGTAATAAGCTACGGGTTCTACTCCATCACGGTAAAAAGCCACCGGAAAACGGACCTACAAGGGGAGGAGACAGGCAACGCCTCGAGCAGCCCCGCTCCTTTGAACAACTTTACCGACGAAGAGGCCAACAAAAAAGGCAACGCGTCGAGCGGACCTGGTGCCTCCGAGTCAGCATCGGTGGCAGACCGCGCGGGGTCTACAGGAAACACCACCAGTGGACCTGGGGACCTACCAACGGGTGTACCCGACATCGCGTCAGGTACTGACATCGACACGGGCTCAGTACCTGCCTACGTAAGGTCGGTATACAGCCGGTGGGCAATGCAAGACGAGGACCAGCTTCTGCTCTCGGAACCGGAGGAGGATAATGACGTCACAGTCATTTCCGCCGCCGAACGGGAGGAGCTAGAGGCGATGGACATCACCGACTCTGAGAATGGTGCAGATCCTACAAATTTATCTACCCCATTCCATGACAGCTTCGGCTGCCCTTCTTCTTCGCCTCAGCGATAAAGCTGAGCACTTGATTCTAGTCCAAGAGCCTTGGATCGCTAGAAACAAGGTTTGAACTCTGATGCCTACGAGGTGGTAACAGCTCCAGTAGCAGACAGGATCAGAGCTTGCATTCTAAATAAAAAAGTATATTCTTATTTTTTACTCCCCCAATACAGCGACGAGGACACTGTCTGCATCAGCGTCCAACTAAACGAGAGCGTGATCTGGCAGCAACAACCTACATGACCCACGTTTTTCAACCCTATAGACTGCAAGAAGCTATGAAGGAAGCAAATCGCAGAAAACTCGCGGTCATAATAGGGGCCGAGTCTAATTCGCATAACACGATCTGGGGTTCAAGCAACACCAACTCCCGAGGTGAGTGTTTACTTGACTTTATTATTTTATATAATCTACTGTGTGTGACCGTGGAACGATCCCACCTTTGTGCCCGCTGTTAGAAGGGAAGTGTGTCGAGCGGTTTGTCTGATCGCATACGGGACTGGCAGGTATCCAAAGAACACTATTTTTCTGACCACCTCTACAGTAGTTTTAAGCTCAATTTTGATCCTGCTCCATTAACAGCATAC